AACGTGGATGCATCCGGAGTACCTGGGCATGGACCGCTCGGCCAGCCTGAGAGGGCGAGGTGGCAGGGCCAAGCTGGCTGCTAAGAAGTTTACCATAAGCCAGAAAACACAGCAAGCAAAATAATGAGCTGTTTCAGAGAGCTGGGTGGAAAGGAAAGGACCGCTCTATACCCCGAGCAGCCGGCTTTTTTTTTTTATCCTCACCCGAGGACATTTTTCCATTTTTTTGTTCAGATAGAGCGGGAGGGAGGGAGAGGAAGAGAGAGAGAGAAACATCGACGTGAAGGGACAGATCGAGTGGCTGCCACCCGCACGACCAACCAGGGCCGGGGACAAACTGCAACCGAGGTACGTGCCCTTAGCGGGAACCGAACCGGGGTCTCTCTGTACCACAGGCCGACGCTCCAACCGCTGAGCCAAACCTGCCAGGGCTATACCCCGAGCAGCCGGCATTTAGAAACAACCCTTCTTTCTCATGGTGCTTCATCAACACATCGGACGACCTTATACGGCCCTTCATCAACATGTCAAATTTTTAAGAAAGTTTTTTTTAATAGTAACATAAATATGATGGTACACTGTAACAGAAATGCTACGTGTGGCTAATTCTTCATAACATCATTCAGGAATTTAAAAAAAAAAAGGAGCCAGATTCAAAAGAGAATTTAGAAGCATCTCCTCCTGGAGCAAACCATTCCTTGGGAACCCATCTCAAGGTGCCCAGGCGCCCTGGGAAGGTCTAAGCCAGTCCTAGAATTTGGGAGGAAATAATGACAGAGCCAGAGAGCAGGAAACTTCTCTTCCACCAAATTAGATTTAGGCTGTTCAGGTCCTAACATCGCTCTTTCCGCATTTGATCTATCCACCTGGTCCTGTTTGCAACTCCACTGGCTTCGATTATATTCTAAGAAGGTCTGGCATCACTTGACTCTTCTCTACAAAATCCACCCTCCTGATCAATACTTTTAAACCTGGGAGCCCTCTTTTTCTCTGGCTGCTGTGGAGGTGCCTACACCCTCTGCCTCTGATCCCTCCATCCTCGGCTTTTCTTGGCGCCCCGCTCTGCGTTCAAAATCCCTCTCTGCTTTGTTTCCCCCTCCGGAGGGTCCAAAATCATTGCCAGCAAGTTGATCTTTCTTTCAAATCACTATTTACTTCTTGCTGCTTCTTGAACTTTAGTGAAGAAAAAAAACGAGGCAGAATGAAGGTTAAAGAGCTGAGAGTCACGGGTGGCAGAGACATGGGTGTGAAACACCATAGGGTGGCCTCCACCCCCCGGGCCTCCAGCCCCCCTTCCCGGTCCCCAAGACACTTTCCTGTGCTCTTTCCCCCCTCCGACATCCTCTTGCACTGGCTCACTTTGCCCCTTTGTGTATTCTCACTCACTGCCCGATGCTGCGTGTCCGAGACCCCTAAAACCCGCACGGCCATCAAGCCACAGTACAGGCCACCTCCTGGAGCCCCCAAAAGTGCTTAAGAGGCCAAAGGCTTCCACTGTCAGGCTTCCACCAGAGGGGTCCCCCACCTCCCGCGGCAGTTCTCGCCTGACCAGGCTGCCTCGTTTCCCTTCTGCAGCTCAGCCTTCAGAACAAATGACAGTTTTTAGACCCGACCTTCCTTTGACCTCACTATGGCCTCTTAATGGTGATCAAGTAAACAATGGCAAAGATGGCTGTGGGTCTCGAGGAGTGGAGGGAAAATGGAAACTCGAGAACGTCAAACATGTCTTGTACGGTGAGAGGATTCAGCTCACACTTAATGTACGTGGATAAACAGTCTCGTCACATTGGGCAGAGGAATCCAAATATGGAAACTCTCGTTGCTCCCCTATCTGTAAGAGGCGGAGGCCCTGTTGTCCTGGATTCCTCGGAGAGATTTTTCAAGACAGAAGGGGTGTTCTAGAAAGTCAGGTTTAAACCGCGAAAAGCACCATTTATCATCCTGCTCCTCCGTCCTCCATCCTACAAGGGCCAAACTGAAGAATATGCATCATTCGATGACTTCGGCCTCTCGGCTCCATTTGGCTTTCCTCTGCCCACTTAGAGCAGAGAGTCACTGTCAAAAGTCAAAGCTCATCAGTGTTGGGACCTAAATTCAGTGCCCTTGAGTTGTAAGACATCGCTCTAGACAAGGCCTTCCTGGCTCGGATTAATTTGTCATGACGTCTGGTTTGTCCCAGGATGGGTCTCACAAACCCAGGATCACATTTGCTATGCAATGACACCTGAAGGAGGGAAGGGATCCAAAGAATGAATGGGTGAAACTTGGTCCATGCAGAAGAATTTCCAATACTCATCAAAGAAATTCAGATGAACCAGTGGTACCTGAGAATAACCCAGCGACCTGCACTGTACCATGATGGCAAGGACCGAAGAGACCATGCAAGAGCGCAGCAGAGGCATTCTGGGGTGACCTTGATCTTCCCTCAAAATCATGGACTGTCAGGACTGGAGACTGTTCACTCCAGTGACCTCATTATACCAGAAGAAGAGAGATCCAGAGAGGGAAAATGAGTCTGTTACAGTCCCATAGCAGTTCTGAAATTAAAACCCAAATGGTCCTTCCTCCTCGCCCATTGCTTCCCTCTCAGTGGCCATGGGAAGATCTATATCCCTCCAGGCATCAGGACGAAGATGGAGGAGTAACACATCCATGGGGTAGGCAGCAGGCAAAAGGCACTGCCCTTCAAAAGCACTAGGAAGGCCAAGTTCACTTCTGGTACCCCATCTACCACACCCCATCCTAGCTCCTACAGACCTGCCCTGAGAGAGCCCAGATGGCCACATACACTTGTTCTTCCTGGGCCAAGGGGACAGAGAGCATTAGTAGGGATTTGGAGTGGACATTTTCATCATTCTTCAGGATAATGTACGAATGCCTGATACTAAACTTGTATCCTTATTTCTTTTCCTAACACAGACACACACACTTTTCCTCTGAATCAAAAGACAGAATAATGCAGAGGGGTGCTTCTCAGACTTCATGAGCATATGAAGCATCTAGCCCAGAGATCTCCTTGAAATGCAAATTCTGCCCTGGCCGGTTTGGCTCAGTGGTTAGAGTGTTGGCCTGCGATCTGGAGAGACCTGGGTTCGGTTCCCACTAAGGGCACGTTCCTTGGTTGCAGTTTGTCCCTGGCCCAGGTTGGGTCATGTGGGTGGCAACCACTCGATGTGTCCCTTTCACGTCGATGTTTCTCTCTCCTCTCTCTCTCTCTCTCTCCCTCCCACTCTATCTGAACAAAATATCGAAAAATGTCCTCGAGTGAGAATTTAAAAAAGAAAAGAAATGCAAATTCTGATTCAGTGGGTCTGGATTAGACCTGAGATTCCACACTACTAACCACCTCCCAGGTGACTCTATGCTGTAGTTCTGAGCCGCACACGCTGTAGGGGCAGTTGCTACACAATCTCAGAGTAAAACAAATCTGGGTTTAAATTCTAGTTCCAGCCCTGGCCAGTTTGGCTCAGAGGTTAGAGTACTGGCCCTCAGACTGAAGGGTCTCGGGTTCGATTCCTGGTCAAGGGCATGTACCTGGTTACAGATTCAATCCCCAGCCTCGGCCAGGGTCATGCAGGAGGCAATCAATGATGTGTCTCTCTCACATCAATGTTTCCCTCTCTTTCTCTCTTTCTCTCTCTCTCCCTCCCTCTCTCCCTTTCACTCTAATCTAAAAATCTATGAAAAAAATATCCTCAGGTGAGGATTAACAAAATAAAATAATAATAACAATTTCTGGTTCCACCATGTAGGAGCTTTGTGATTTTTGGACTGATTCCCTAACTTCACACCGCCTCGACCGCCTCATCTCTAAAATGGAAATAGGAACACCTAAGAAGCACTTGATGATGATTACATAAGTTAATGATGTGAAGCTTTTAACAGTATCTGGCACAGTATAATACGGGCTTGATAAATGTCCATTGCTGGCTGCCTCTAAGATTCATGAAGGCAGGGACAACATCTGTCTGGCTCACTGCCAAAAGCCTAATGGCTAGGACATAGTAGGTGCTCAATGGATGCTTGTGAACGAATAAATGTATCTCTGATATACCCACACACAAGCTCAATATTTACACATTTTCTTGGTTCTGTGGCTTTCTGCAGGGAAACATAAAACTTTTAGTACACCAGAACACTCTCACCAGTAACAAACCATCATCTCATGGAATCAAATTCAACATTAACCACCATGCATAACCACTGAAAACATATCATTTGTGATGGCTATATGTACTTGAGAAAATATTTTGACTGTAAACAAAGACAACATCAGTCAAGAATCTGTACATCTTTAAGAGAGATTACTGCCTCACTCATTATATATGTGGCTGTCTAAATACAAAATATTATAACAAACTTAGTTATAAAACTAAGTTCATTTTCAAACCAAACGTAGAACTGCAAGGACAGACAAAACCAGCCATGGGAAGCGAGGCTACTTTTTAAAGAGCCACTAGGACGGTAATACATTCTCTTACATATACACACACTTGCTCGGGAAAAATTACAAACACAAGAACTATTAACAAATGGCAGAGCTTCCTCTCTTCAAGCAAAGGCAGACAAATGAATAAACGCAAAACTCTTCAACACTCTCAGATTATCTTCAAACACCTCACCAAGTGGCATCATTTAAACAGATCCCATTGCAGGGAGTACATAAAGAGAATACGATTGCCACCTACAGACAGAACTGGCACACCCTTTGCACGAGCTGGCCAATCATATTTTAATGTGAACGAAAAATTCAACCAAGTCACCTCCCTCCAACCTCTTCCAAACCACCACACCACATTACTTCATTTAGAATTACTTTCAAGTCACACAATCATCTCTAGGCATTCTGCCTCTTCATTATCATCATCCTATTTCTAATTTCCCAGAAACACTGCGCCATTCAACTAGCTTCTTATACACTATTTCAGAGCCAAAGAGAATGCAAGCCAATAGATTTCAAGCAGGCAAGGGCCCCAGGGTGGAAGTATAAATCTGCTTACCTGGTATGAAGGGGACCACCCGGAATATATCAGACAATCTGCTGTTAACTGGTTCATATGGTGAATCTTCCAGCAGATCATTTCCTAAAACAACAGGAAGACTGGGCTCAGGTCTGGAACACAGACACATTTCAGGCAGTTTTTGTTACTGAATCTGAATTCTAATTATGTTATGATTGTGCAACAAAAAGATGCTGAAACTTTCAAAGATTCCAAATGCCTCTATTTGGCGATGGCTGTTTTTCATTCCCTCTGCCTTTGTTATCCTTGCTCTCCCACGAGTACCATGAAAACACTAACCTTGCCAGAAAACTCTCCCACTTTTGCAAAGGAACAAAATCAGAGAGGAAGGAACCAGTGATATCACATGCCCAGCTCTCCTCCAGGAGCCAATGGAAGAAAGGTGACTCAAAGGAGACCCCATTCCTTTGCTCCTGAACCATGGCGTGTGGCCAGAAAGCAGGTACCCTGGCTATTAAACAGTCAGTCTTTGAAACAGGTTTTCACTGGTAGGTTTTGGAGGAAGTGGTGGCTGATGGGTCAATTCTGTTTATTACGCTTTTTTGGTGTCTCGGTGGAGAATGGATGCACTGGATGTTTGTATTACATTTACAACACGAGCCACATCTATCACACAAGGACCAAAAAACTGGCCTTGAAAATGGATGGTTGTGACAAGTGGGCCTTTTCCTCTCTGAGACACTTCTGTGTTAACCAAAGTTGAACCACACCAGCTGGTTCAAGACTCAGCTAATCTAAGATGACAAATGGTTTTTCCTACATCACCCTTTGATCAGGTCTGAGGGGGGGTAAAGATAGAATAGATTCTACTAGACCTTTAAAGCTTAATTCTATATCGTATGTCAGAACGGACGGAAGGACAGAATAAAGGGGGACACTCCAGGCAAGATGTTAGGCAAGTCTTTGTATTATTCTGTGAAGCCAGCCCTCCTTACAGAGAAGTTGCAGTTCCTCGGTGGCCTTTAATGGTTACTCCTACTCAACTCTCTGACCAGGTTTCAAAGAGGTCAATGGGGTCTCGGAGTGTCCCCCACACCCCATTATGGGTTTTTCAACAACCAGGCCCCAACAATACAACTGGGGAGGCAGCAAACACCAGCTGCTGCTGTCCCTGGGGGCCCATGAAAGGTCCTCATTCTGCAGCTGGGAGAAGTGAGTGGAGGATGAGGTCAGCCAGACGGGGTGAGAGGCCCGCCTGCCTGCCGGGGTGGGGGGGCGGGGACGGTGGGCGCGTACCCTGCAGGCTCTGGTACATGCTCCAGTAGATGCGCAGGCAGTTCTTCTCTTTCTTCATACCCCGCTTGCAGCGGCAGTTGTAGAGGGACTTCTGTTTGAGGGCCTCCATGGCGCTGCGGCACTCGTCCTTGGCCTCCAGGCCGGATGTCAGGCTGAAGTTGGTCTCCTTGCCCGCCACGCACTGCCTCAGCGTGCGGTACTTGGTGCTGCAGCTCTGCTCCTTCAGGCACTGATCGCTGGCTTTCACGCAGTCCAGGCGGTCCCCGCCGCTCACCTCCGCCGACAGGAGCACGTCTGCGGGTGGAGGGGCGGGAGCGTGAGTGCGGCGAGGCCAGGCGGGGGCCGAGGTCACGCCCCGGGGGAGGGCGCGTGCTTGTCTAGGCTTCCCGGGCGCCCCGCGCGCCCACTGCACCCGGGAGTCCATTTTCCGGCCCTGGGACCTCCTGCTGCCTCGGTCTCCCCCCACCCCACCTGCCAAGGCCCTGAGGCTCTGCGGACTTTTCGGGGTCTGCCCGGGAGCCCTTGCTGCCCACCGCGCGTGCGGGCTCCGCAGCCCCAGGGCAGACCTGCCGGAGCCCCGGGCTCCCGCCGCTCGTTCGCCCGGCTCGCCTGAAGCCAGGAGGGGAGAGCGGCGGTGGGCTGGGCGATGGGCGCACGGCAGGCAAGCCCCGGTCCGCAGCCCGCCCGTGCTACTCGGGAAAAGTTTTCCCTTCGAAGTTTGTCTCCTGGCCCAGTGCTCGCTTACACCCCACCTGCCCGCCGCACCTCTGCGAGCTCCCCGGGACTCTCACGGGGTGTGGGGTCCCGGGCTGGAGGGCTCGCACCCCTTTATTCCTACCAGGCTAAGTCATTAAAAACCACAGAAAATAAAAAGCAAGCACGAAAACTGCGGGCAAGTGCGCGTCGACACCGCCTCCCCAGCCTGAGGTGCTGAAGATTCATGATCCCCTTCCCCAAAACGAAACTTCACCCTCCCACACCCACCGCACCCCGCGCCGAGAGGACTCCTCGGTAAGACTCAGGGGTAAGGAATCCAGCGGCAGCCTCGACTTACCCAGAAGCGGCAGCACGAAGTACAGAGTCACCAGGAACATGGTGCCGGCGCGCAGCTGGTGTCCACCTCCCCAAAAAATCCCGAGCGTCTGCTGGGTCTCGCAGAGGGAGCTCAGCATGCAGCGATCCCCAGACGGCCCTGCTGCTCTGGCTGCCCAAAGTTCAGATCCATCCAGTGCCAGAGGAAACTCCCGAGTCCTTCTGCCGCCACAGCCGCGGGCGACTCTGCTCCAGGCCGGCCGCTGGCGCGAGGGCGGGAGGCGGTTCCGCTTTTAGGGGTTCAGGTCCGACCCAACCTGGAAGGGAGAGCCCGCTTTGAAATGAGAGCCTAGGACGCTGGAGCCTCTCCCCCTCCCCTCTGCCCTCCTCTGCTCCCGCCTTGGAAGACTTTCCAGAGCCCGGGCAAGGGCCCACCCCTACCCGGGTCTGGGCGCGGGGTGGGGGGCGGGTATTCCGGGGAGCCTCCCGCACCAACAGAGGGAGGCTGGAGAGATCGGACGCGGGCTCCCAAAGTCCAAGGGGCTGTCTATAGGGTCCAACCCGAGAGGCTGAACGCAACCAAATAAATAACGTTACTTTCCGAGCGCTGAGAGCGGAGCCGGCCGCTGCCTGGAGTCGAAGCTCTCCGCGGCGGCTCCCTCGCCAGCCCTGGCGCAGAAAGAGCCCCTTCTCCCGGGAAGTTCGCCACCCCCTCCTCGCGCCAGCTCGCTGGCTCAGCCGCCAGCCCTCCCCACCCAAACCACCAATCGCTGCCCCCCATCACAGTATCCCCTCCTCCCCGGTTCGCCTTCGTTCAGAGGCAGCCGGGCAAGGAGGAACCGACTTCCCGACTGGAGCTGAAACCCGGCTAGTGCGCCCCACCCGCCGCACGTCCTCCGCTCCCTCCCCAGCGCCCGCTCCGCTCACACACTAGCCCAGCGCCCTGGACTCGGACGCATCAGTGCCACCAGCCAGGGCAGGCGCACCCGGCCCGCAGCCCCGGAGCGCCAGGGCAGGTGCAGCCTGCCGCGCACCCCTCGGCCCCAAAGTTGAGGGGCGCCTGCAAGAGAGGAAGTGGGGTGTGGGAGAGCGGGGATAGGTTCCCATATCGACAGAATTAGAGAACTCTCTCCAAATGCCACCAACCTGGACTCAACCGACCGTGTCCAGCTGCAGCGAGGAACGAGTTTATTTATTTATTTTAGGGGGTGTCCCCGCCCCCTCCTTCCCTTTCCGGGCTCACTTGTCTGCGCTAGGAAGAAAGATGCGGTAATCTTCGAGATCTCAGAGGATCTAGTTGGGCCAGGACGGTTTCCGAGCAGAGCCCCCTAGGGCTCAGATGCGGGTTAGGGATGTTAGCGGTTACTGGGAGCTGCGAGGAGGATAGCGGGTTCAGAGACCAGATTTCTTTGCCAGGGACCCTCCGCCTGCTCCTGCTCCCTCCGGACCGCAGCACACTGCCAGCTGCCTCCGATACTGGCCCTGAGGGACGCCGCAGATGAACACACTCGCCTGAGGTGGGACTCGGGGACGGACCCAGCTCGCACGCACAGGACACGCAGGGCTATGCAGCCAGCCGCGAGCGCGCCTCTCTCTCTCTCTCTCTCTCTCTCTCTCTGACACAAAAGGGCACCATGCACGAGGACTCTTACGCCCTACTGCAATCAAACCAGACCCTTCTTCCGGACATAAAGTTTTTCTCCACGTCACTCGCGGCTGTGACTCAAGACTTGGCATGTTTAAGACACACTCAGACCCAGGCCCTCAGAGCCGGGGTCCGGATGCGCCCACCCACTCTTCCACCACAACGGGCACACACTTACACCCACACATGCACACACAGTCTCTCTACCTCTGTCTTGGAGCTTGAACAACGAGACAAAAGCGGAACACAGTGCATTTAAACCACGTCAGATCTGGCTTTGGGAAATTTATATGCGGACTTCCATTTTGACTTTCAAGAATAAATTTTAAAATAATAAATTTAAAAGCCCAGCTACACAATCCTTCACTCCAATCCCTGGGACCACTCGTTCTCAGTTTAGCTGCTGGCCACCCCCTAGCCCATCCTGAACACAGGCTCCCCTCCCGGCACGCCCGTAGGCACCCGGGGCACCGAAGTCTACACTGGGTCTAGACAGGGGTCTGGAGGACAGCCTGCAGTGGCGGACGGCGGTTATGTCGCTCAGAGCGTGTATTTGGGATCCTTGCTGATGTCCAAGTTCACATCTCTGGGAAACCGAGTTTGAATCAAGTCTGGGAGAGCCCAGCTGTCAAATCTGCAAATCCATCACACCAGACAATGGGCTGTGGAGGAGAGAAAAGAAACGCTCATTTTGATCGAGGGGGGTTAATTGAAAAGGGCAGGGGCTTTGGTTGAAGTTTGAGGCTGGGGTGTAAGGGCGGGGAGAAGAGGAGGAGGAAAGAGGAGGCGTGGGTAGCTCTCCTTTCAACTGCACATCAGCCAGGCGCGCCCTCAGCTGCAGCGGCGGCTCCAATGCGTGCAGTGCATTGTTTGGGATGTGTCTGCGTCTGAGTGAGCGCCCCAACCCCCGGGACATCCGAGGGTCTATGCTCCTGTGCACGTGTTCCCCGGGGGCAGGAATGAGGAGATTGATTCCCTCATCAAGCACCCCCCTCAACACACACACACACACACACACACACACACACACACAGTGGCACCATACGTGGATTTCTCCTTCAGTGTATCAGTTTACACTTGGTTGTTGAGTAAACAAAGCCAACATATGCCACATTTTCTTGACAGATGGTTTAAACCAAGGGCTACTTAAGTTCTCTTTTCCTAGCATGGGTAACAGTCTAAGTTACAGGGTGGACTAGGCGGAAATGTAATTAAATCTTTCAATCAGTTTCCTCACGTTAAATAAGTTTATTTCCAAATTTTCACATACAAACCAGAGAAGTCCTAGGGAGGTGGTTTCAATAAGAGAAGTGACAAATTTATCGTTTGTTATTCTTCATAGACACCCAAAACATAAAACCCTCTTTTGTCATCTCCATTTTATAAGTGGAGCGGAATGTCTCCCTTTAGAAAATCAGTAATTGGAATTCTAATTTTCAGTAGATAAACTAGAGTCTGTCATTGATGAACACATGATTGAATGAAGTAAGATTTCATTTAAGGACATCATCCACATCTTTTGTAAGTGTTCTTTATTCAGAAATGATGCTATGTTATCATAATATTCCACAGGCATCTTTAAAATAAAAATTTAACTGGGTGGGGGGAGGGTGGAATAAAAGTTCTCCAAAAGTAAAATATGGGATTTCTTTTTAAATATTTATAGCTTCACTATGGCCGGGTTTGCTCAGCGGTTAGCGTCTTGGCCCACGGACCAGAGAGATTGGGTTCGGTTCCCGCTAAGGGCATGTACCTGGGTTGCAGTTTGTCCCCGGCCCCAGTTGGGGTTGTGTGGGTGGCAACCAGTGATGTGACTCTCTCATATCTATGTTTCTCTCTCTCTCTTCCTCCCTCTCTCCCTCCCACTCTATCTGAAGATAAATGCAAATATATATACATATATGTGTATATATATTTATAGCTTCAAGAATATGTCAGAACCACTCACAAACACACGTTCTCATTACATTCTTGCTGCTGATGAAAACAGAGCTTTATTTTTCTTGAAAATGTTTAAAAATTTTTTAAAATTAGTCACCAGGCACTATAAGTGTTGTCCAATACAATGATCACTAGCCGGGTGGTTTTTTTTTTTTTTAGTAAAAATTAATTTAAATTAAAGAAAAGGAAAATGCAGCTCCTTGGTAGCACTTGCTATGTTTCAAGTGCTCAATGGCCACATGTGGCTAGTGGCTACCATATTGGACAGCACAGCTGAAGAACATTTCCAATTTCCATCATCACAGGAGATTTCTATTTCTTGAGGATAGCTGTGTAGAAAAACAAAAAAAACAAAAATTGTGGCCCCTACCCTGAGACTTCTTATAGCAGGAGCTAATAAAAAAATTTTGCCCAGCAGGTGTGGCTCAGTGGTGGAGCATCAACCCATGCACCAAGAGGTCGCTGGTTCGATTCCTGGTCAGGGCACATGCCCAGGTTGTGGGCCAAATCCCCAGTGGGGGCATGCAGGAGGCGGCCAATTAATGTTCTCTCTCATCGATGCTTCCATCTCTCCCTATGTATCCCTTCCTCTCTCTCTAAAATCAATAAAGAAAAAAAAATCACTGCTTTACTACTATATCCACTACCTTCGAAAAGTGGAAGAGACATGACTGAATGTCCTTTGAATACGGACAATAGAAATGCAGCGTGACTTGTTGTATTAATATTATTTCTGTTTCCTTGGAGCTTTTCTGTTCCCATGTGCACGGGATTGATCTCAGGATAAAAGGTGGCATCGAAATATCAAATATTATTAATAATTATAAAAATCTGTGCCATCTTCTGTGACATGTTTTCTCAGTAGAAAATTGGTTTTAATGCTGCAAAATTAGGTTCACTCCATCCATAGGCATGTAAAGTGAGCAGTTTTCCTACACTTCTTGATACAAGTGCATTTTCATAAGTTAACAGATGAGTCACGGTGAGAATGACAGTTTTATTCCATGCAATATTTTGTCTCCCACTTTCATTGCCTTGGCCCTATAAACTATAATGCAAAATACATTCATTTAGCAAAATTATGCTGCTCAAAAACCACTCAAGTTTCTTTAACTCAAACTAGTTCATCAAAGTAGGTGACATTAGACAACTTGACAAGCCTACCTCTGTAGCTATACAAAACCACTCACTACACCTAGAAGTGCCATGTTTGTTTGTTTGTTTGTTTCCTGCTGCTCCTTCTTTGCTCATGCTGTTCCATCCTGATGTTTGAAGATCTAGCTGAGCTCTAACGAGCCACTAAGGAAAGTCTCCTTTGGTCAGAAAGAATCGATCTCTTTATTGGGCTCTATGGCCCCAGCAGAGTTTCCATTATACCTGTTGTCACACTGCATTGTGGCTACTTGCTCTATCTGTCTCTTTAACTGGAATGTGAGTTCCTTGAAGGCAGGAAATGTTCTGTTCTTTTTTTCTTTTCTTTTTTTTTCTTTTTGTATCCACAGCATTTAGACTGATGACTGATACACAGTCACCCCAATAAATGTATATTGATTGCCTGAATAATGAGTGATGATGTTTCCCATTTTTCTCTGACACAATAATTCTACTGAAAGACTTTCATAAAATCTCTTTGCTATGGGAACAATACTAAATGTAAGTACCTCATGCAATTACTGGTATTGCTGTTCCAATAGTACTATCAAATTTGTATTATTCCTTTGGGGGTTTGACATTTACATTTTTTTAAACAAAACCCATTATTGTAATAGAATGCTCTTTTACTGGTTCACTTTAATAGTAACATATGACATATTTCATTTCTGGGAAATGATAGCTTGCCTCAGGTCATATTTTAAGGCATAAAGCCAGAGGCACAGTAACATTCCCACCTGAGGTTCTCTAATCATCTAGAAATGTGCCTCTCTCTGGGAGAAAGGATTTAGAAGGGCTAGATTAAAACTACCCTGGAGCCTATACCCTCAAAGGCAAAATTCTTAAAGCCCAGTTTGCCCCAAGAGTGTTAAAAAAAATTTTTTTTATGAACACACAAGATTTGGTATAATCTTTTAGAAAAATGAGAAAATGGTAACCATTCCAACCTGGAATGCTAGTGAGAGGGTCTGTCTGAGGCTGACACAGAGCTCACCTTCCAGTGCTGTCCTCAAAACATTTGCCCTTTGGAAGTGCCCCTTGCTCTCAGATTTCAGAGCCCTGGTCCAAGATGACTATATTAAGATGTGTCTCTTGAACATTATTTGAAAATGTCCGCTTCTTATTGGCTGTCAAGGTGCCTGACCCCTAGGAACCTATCTTAGGAAGCTTCTCTTCCTCCTTACTTTTTGAGCCATTCTTCTTTCTTAGTATTAATAAGCCAGTGCACGGATTCTAATGCATTTGTGAAAGACTATTGCATTTTGTGAGCGTTAAAGTCATTTGTACTTTGGCCTTATGCCACAAAATGCATTCAAGGTGTGCAGCCCTGATGAAATAAAGTGCCTGTCACGTCTTATTGCTTAGATATATAGCAAAAGATACCCCATCTTCAGGGGACTTAGAAGGCTTTCTTGGTGATTGCCGAAGGTGCCGCATTGAAAGCTCTGTACATTTCAGCCCTCTGTAGCCAGGAAGGTTGGGAAATGGCTACACTAAGGAAACATCTTTTCTCTCTACCACTCTCCTAATAAGCCCTAACCCCCATTCCAGAGGGACTGTCTCTTCAGAAGGGCGAGAGGGAAGCTTAATCCCCAGCTTTGTCCAGTAATTAGCCTCTCTCTCTCTCTCCCGGGAGGCAGCAAACACAGATGCCGGGCCGGATGAGCTTTGG